CCAGGAGCTGGTTTTTTGAAAAGATCAACAAAATAGACTGCTAGCTAGACTAATAAAAAAGAAAAGAGAGAAGAATTGAATAGATGCAATAAAAAAACGGTAAAGGGGAGATCACTGCTGATTCCTCGGAAATAAAAACTACCATCAGAGATTACTACAAACAGCTCTATGTGCATAAACCAGTAAATCTGGAAGAAATGGATAAATTCCTGGACACTTGCACACTCCTAAGACTAAGCCAGTAAGAAGTTGAAACCCTGAATTGACTAATAACAAGGTCTGAAGTTGAGGCAGCAATTAATAGCCTACCAACCAAAAAAAGTCCAGGTCCAGAGGGGTTCACAGCTGAATTCTATCAGACGTACAAAGAGAAGTTAGTACCATTCCTGTTGAAACTATTCCAGATAATACAAAAAGAGGGAATCCTCCCTCTTTCTGTGAGACCAATATCATCCTGATATCAAAACCTGGCAGAGACACAACTAAAAAAGAAAACTACAGGCCAATATCCATGGTGAACATTGGTGCAAAAATCTTCAATAAAATACTGGCAAACCAAATCCAACAGCACATCAAAAAGCTTATCCACCACGATCAAGTAGGCTTCACCCAGGGATGCAAAGCTTGTTCAACATACGCAAATTTATAAACGTAATCCACCACATAAACAGAGCCAAATACAAAAACCACATGGTTATCTCAATAGATGCAGAGAAGGCCTTCAACAAAATTCAACAGCCCTTTATGCTAAAAACTCTCAATAAACTAGGTATTGATGGAATGTATCTCAAAATAATAAAAGCTATTTGTGACAAACCCACAGCCAATATCATACTAAGTGGGCAAAACCTAGAAACATTCCCTTTAAAAAGTGGCACTAGACAAGGATGCCCTCTCTCACCACTCCTATTCAATATAGTATTGGAAGCTCTAGCCAGAGTAATCAGTCAAGAAAAAGAAATAAAGGGCATTCAGCTAGGAAAAGAAAAAGTCAGATTGTCCCTATTTGCAGACGACATGATCGTATATTTAGAAGACCACATCATCTCAGCCCAAAACTTCCTTAAGCTGATGAGCAACTTCGGCAAAGCCTCAGGATACAAAATCAATATGCAGAAACCACAAGCATTCCTATACACCAACAACAGACAAACAGAGAGCCAAATCATGAGTGGACTCCCATTTACAATTGCTACAAAGGGAATAAAATGCCTAGGAATACAACTTATAAGGGATGTAAAAGATCTCTTTAAGGAAAACTACAAACCACTGCTCAAGGAAATAAGAGAAGACACAAACAGATGGAAAAACATTCCATGCTCATGGCTAGTTATAATCAATGTTGTGAAAATGGCCATACTGCCCAAAGTAATTTATAGATTCAATGCTATCCCCATCAAGTTACCATTGACTTTCTTCACAGACCTGGAGAAAACCACTTTAAACTTCATATGGAATCAAAAGAGAGCTCGCATAGCCAAGACAATCCTAAGCAAAAAGAACAAAGCTGGAGTCATCACGATACCTGACTTCAAACTATACTACAAGGCTACAGTAATCAAAACAGCATGGTACTGGTACCAAAACAGAGATATACAACAGAACAGAGGCCTCGGAGGCAATGCCACACATCCACAACCATCTCATCTTTGACAAACTGTACAAAAACAAGCAATGGGGAAAGGATTCCCTGTTTAATAAATGGTGTTTGAAAAACTGGCTAGCCATATGCAGGAAGCTGAAACTGGACCCCTTCCTTACACCTTATACAAAAATCAACTCCAGATGGATTAAAGATTTAAACATAAGAACTAATACCATAAAAACCCTAGAAGAAAACCTAGGCAACACCATCCAGGACATAGGCACAGGCAAGGATTTTATGACTACGAAACCAAAAGCAATGACAAAAAGCCAAAATAGACAAATGGGATCTAATTAAACTTAAGAGCTTTTGCACAGCAAAAGAAACAATCAGTAGAGTGAACTGACAACCAACAGAATGGGAAAAAATTTTTGCAAACTACCAATCTGACAAAGGGCTAATATCCAGAATCTACAAAGAACTAAAGCAGATTTATAAGAAAAAAAAAACAAATAAACCCATTCAAAAGTGGGTGAATGATATGAATAGACACTTTTCAAAAGAAGACATCTTTGCCTCCAACAAACATATGAAAAAATGCTCATCATCGTTGGTCATTAGAGAAATGCAAATCAAAACCACATTAAGATACGATCTCATGCCAGCTAGAATGGTGATCATTAAAAAGTCTGGAGACACCAAGAGAGGAGTATCAATACACCAACTGTAATTGTTCAACTGAATTGTTTATTTCTGCATTCTCTACTGTCAGTTTTTACTTTCTGTATTTTAGGGCTCTTTGCTAGGTGCATTTAGATCTACTCTTGTTTATCTTCCTGATTTGGCTCCATAGGGACATTTGGAAAAGTCTGGAGACATTTTTGGTTGTTGCAACTGGGGGAATCCTCTTGGCACCTAGTGGCTAGAAGCCAGAGATACTGCTCAATGTACTGCAATGCCGGGACAGGCCCCAAAGCAAAGAATTGTTCAGTTGACAATATAGGGACTGAGGCTGAGAAACCAAACTTCTTTTAATACTTAATACCTAAAGCTCTAGCAATTTTTAAAGAATAAGTGCTTCTCAGTGTTTGGTCTGCCTTCAGTTCATTTTCAGATGCCTGAAATGTTAATTTTTGTCAGTTTTTTCTAGTTTTATATTTGCTTTTGAGGATGAGGATTTGCAGATTGCTTCACAATACCACAAAGATGGAAGTCTGTCTATCCTTTAGTATTTAACCTTTTGGTGTGTCTTTATATTTAAAGTAAGTTTCTTGTAGATAGCATTCAGTTGGATCTTCTTTAAAAAATGCTATCTGACAATGTCTGCCTTTTAATTGGGAATATTTAGACCATTTACACTTAATGTAATTATTGATAGAGTTGAGATTAAATCTGTCTTGTCTTGTGGAAAAAAAAAAGTCTGGAGACAACAGATGCTGGAGAGGATGTGGAGAAATAGGAACACTTTTACACTGTTGGTGGGAGAGTAAATTAGTTCAACCATTGTGGAAGACAGTGTGGCAATTCCTCAAGGATCTAGAAATAGAATTTCCATTTTGACCCAGCAATCCCATTACTGGGTATATACCCAAAGGATTATAAATTGCTCTATTATAAAGACACATGCCCATGTATGTTCGTTGAGGCAGTGTTTACAACAGCAAAAACCTGGAACCAACCCAAATGGCCATCAATGATAGACTGGACAAAGAAAATGTGGCACATATACACCATGGAATACTATGCAGCCATAAAAAACGATGAGTTCGTGTCCTTTGTAGAGACATGGATGACTCTAAAAACCATCATTCTCAGCAAACTGACACAAGAACAGAAAACCAAACACTGCATGTTTTCACTCATAGGCAGGTGATGAACAATGAGAACACTTGGGCACAGGGAAGAGGACAACACTTACTGGGCTAGGTGGGGGGTTGGAGGGGAGGGGAGGGGAGCGATAGCATGGGGTAGGGGGATGGGGACAGCAGACCACCATGGCATGTATATACCTATGCAACAATCCTGCAGGATGCAGGATGTGCACATATACGCCAGAGCGCAAAATACAATTAAAAAAAATAAAACAGACCAGGCGCGGTGGCTCATGCTTGTAATCCCAGCACTTTGGGAGTCCGAGTCAGGCGGATCACGAGGTCAAGAGATTGAGACCATCCTGGCCAACATGGTGAAACCCTGTCTCTACTAAAAATACAAAAATTAGCTGGGCATGGTAGCATGCACCTGTAGTCCCAGCTTCTCGGGAGGCTGAGGCAGGAGAATTGCTTGAATCCGGGAGGCGAAGGTTGCAGTGAGCTGAGATTGGGCCACTGCACTCCAGCCTGGCACCTGGCAACAGAGTGAGACTCTGTCTCAAAAAATAAAAAAATAAAACTATATCTTTTTGTATCTTTAACCTCCACTTTTGTATAGAGATTACATTTTACAATATGAGGCTTGACTCTTTAAAAAATAGTTGTATAAATTTTTGAGTTCATTTAAAAATGTTGCTATGAAAACATTTTTCTTGAGTTGCTATCCTCTTAGAAAGTTCTAAGAGGTGATACTGGTTGGTTGCCTTTTGCTGATTTATTTTCCTCCATTTTTTCCATCTAGCTTTTTCAGTGTCAATTGGGAAATTCTCTCTTTTTCTGTCTCTCTTTCTTTTCTTTCTCTTTTTTCTTTTCTTTCTTTTCAGTGGGGTCTTCCTCTGTTGCCCAGGCTGGAGTACAGTGATATGATTTGGCTAACTGCAGCCTCAAACTCCTAGGCTCAAGTGATACTCCCACTTCTGCCACCCGAGTAGCAGGGATTCCAGGCGTCTACCACCGTGCCTTGCTTAGTCACTTTTCTTAATATTTTTAAGCATTAAAATATGCTTTCTTCACAAACAGTTTAATGAATGAGAAATGTCCTTGATTACTAGTATTGCTTTCTCATATTTATCAGCCAAACCACTTTTGTACCAGAAAATGTAAAATAAGAAGTCATGCTCAAGACATCAGCAAATATAAAAATAATACTTTATTATTTTCTGGCCACTGTTAAATTTGAAGCTCCTTGAGACCAAGACTCTTGTTTTGTGTTTTTAAAAGTTCTGTGTGGTCTGTGACATTTCTGACCCTGCTCTATCCTTTTGCATGATCAGAAAGTCATTCTTCAGATTTGCTTGGCCTGTTGACAATTCTTGTTTTGCTCTTCTGGAGATTGTTTTGATGCCTTTGGTTTCTCTTATATGCCAAGGGGCTGTGTCTGTAGATACGATTTCCCTTCCATAATTGTAATTATGGTATATTGCCTAGAACTACATTTATTGATAAAACATTTTTGCTAGAAGCTAACTGGAAGAAATACCCTGAAAAAGTGTTCTAAAGCCCATCAAGTAATTGTAATTTATTTTGCTTTCCTTTTTTTGTAGCATGTTCCGCACTATTCAAGAAAGCACTTAATGGTGTCCCGTAATCTTGGTTCAGTGGGATATGATCCTAATGAAAAAGTAAGTATTTATAAGATTTTCTCAACAACTAAGTTATCATGGCCTTACTTTCTTGTCTCCACACTGTGTTCAGTGGACAGATGAGATTTTGTTAAGGCTGTGTGGTCACTGATCACTCTAGCATTATACGTTTCTATAGGTCCTCAATCTTTCAGTATTCTGTTTTTCATTGTGGGCTACAGTCTGAAACTTTTAAATTTGTTTTTGTATCTTAACCAAAATTTAATGCATTTACAATGTGTTTCCTTTGTTTTCGGTAGAATAACTAAGAAAGCATTTGTTCTTAAAGACTGGGCAGTTGACACATTTTGATTCAACTATTGAGTTTTTCTTTCACTTACTTAATTTTTTTTTGAGATGGAATCTCACTCTGTCACCCAGTCTGGAGTGCAGTGTCATGATTATGGCTCACTGCAACCTCTGCCTCTGAGATTCAAACAATTCTCCCACCTCAGCCTCCTGAGTAGCTGGGATTACAGGGACATGCCACTGCACCTGGCTAATTTTTGTATTTTTAGTAAAGACAGAGTTTCACCATGTTGGGCAGGATGGTCTCAAATTCCTGACCTCAGGTGATCCACCTGCCTCAGCCTCCCAAAGTGCTGGGATTACAGATGTGAGCCACTGTGCCTGGCCTATATGATTCATTTAGCTTGAAGGTAATTTTGTATATTATAAATTTCGGGAAAAGGGGTTTCTAAGTAAAAAGCTATTACAATAATGTTTGAGCCTTGTAGGGACTAGAAGTGATTGGAAATAAAACATGGTTTCCTGCCATGAAGGCATCAAAAAGGGCAGGAGCAGAGTTGTGGTTAAGAAGAGATTGTTCAAGGTGAATGCCATCAAAATACAACTGATAGGAATGATTGTTTGAGAATGACATGTCTGAGGTATCTTCTGAATCATCTGCTGAAGTGTATAATACTACTTTCCAGATTCTGTTGAATCTGGAGGCTTGGAGGAAGAAAGAGTCTACATATCTTCAGTCCGTTAGAAATACAATGTGAAACACAATTGCAGGGTGATATGGTTTGGCTGTGCGTCCCCACCCAAATCTCATCTTGACCTTTAATCCCCATGTGTTGAGGGAGGGAGGTAATCAGATCATGGGGGCTGTTCCCCCATGCTGTTCTTATGATAGTGAGTTGGTTCTCACAAGATCTTATGATCTTATAAGTGTTTGGAAGTTCCTCCTTTGCACTACTCCCCTGCCACCTTGTGAAGAAGGTGCCTGCTTTCATGTTGCCATGATTGTAAGTTTCCTAAAGGCTCTCCAGCCATGCAGAACTGGAGTCAATTAAACCTTTGTTTATAAATTACCTAGTTTCAGGTAGTATCTTCATAGCAATGTGAAAACAGACTAATATACAAGGCAAATGTAATTTTCAGTTTTCTTTTTC